CTGGGAAGGGGAACAGCAGAGACCCCAAGGCAGTGGGACCCCCCACGCCTCAGGGGCCAGGGCTGGCTGCTGGGGCTGTTTCATAAAGAAATCTCCATGAAAGGAACGGAAAGTGCAAGGGGAGGAAGTGACAGAAAAAGCACCAGAGCAGGGATCTTCGGTGGTTTTTTCTTTCCTTTTAACGGCAAATTAACCCCTGGTTTTAATGCTGTCATGCTTTCCAATCTTGAAATGTGGGCAAACGAGGCTTTTTGCTTTCTGTGCATCATTTGACGAAAATCAAAGCGAGCAGTACTGAAGGCCCATTTTATTCATCTTCTGAATGAAAGGATTATTAGAACTGCTCTTTGGCTTGCTCTCCATGCCCTGAACACCTCCATGCACACACGCCTGCATCCCTCGAGTTGCCCTGACATCACCTTTGACCGTAAAAAAATATTGCCAGTGCAAAATACTGACAGGCAGTGGTGAAAACCACGCATTGCTAAAGCACATGGCACTTGTGGTGCTGATCCATGGTTTGGTGGGGAATGGTCTCTAGGGAATGTATTGAGCACCGTGCAGGAGACACTGGGATCTGCTGGGGTGCCCAGACTCGTTCTGGAGCCCTGGCTTGGCTTCTCAGCAATGCAATTGGTGCTGATTTCAGCAGAGTAACTTGGGCCAGAGTTTTCTCTTGGCAGCACTGGTGCATCATCTCTCTGATGCTTCTGGGTTCCTGAGAATTTGATGAGCCTGGGTTCCCGAGAGAGCATCGTGGAGCTTCAGTTTCACACAGTTCTCGTCCAGGATGAGATGGGACTGGTGGGAAATGCAGCTGCTGAGCTCTGAAAATCATCTCCTGAAGCAATCTGCTGGATCAGGCCTGCGGGGGGGTCACTTAATGGGGTGAGGTGTTGGGCTGGGGGTGATTTAGGAAGCCCAGCATGAGCAGAGCCCTGCATAGCGGGGCAGCCCTGTCATGGTCAGCCAGTCCCAGGCTCACAGCATTTGACCTTAACAGGGAGCCAGGGTGAGTGGCTGCTCCAGGGCTCCACAGCCTGAAATCCCTCCCTCCCCCTCTCTCCCCAGCCAGCTTGTCAAAAAAAAAAAAAAAAAAAAAATCAGCAAATTGCAGACAACCACTCTGCTGAGTGTGGGGATCCTGGTGGGCTGCAGACCTCCCCCTGCTCTCTCCCTACCTGCTGGTCACATCCAGCAGGAGCTGGGCAGTCCCTGGTTGTCCTTGTCCTCCTAAACCCATTGCTACTGCTACAGGCCCACTGGTGTGACCGACCTCCTTGCAGCCCCTTGCCAGCTGCAGCCTTGACACCTTTATTCAGGTGCCACTCATGAACCTTTGCTCTGTGTCAATCTCCTGCTTTTTGTGCCTAGCCTGATTCCTGCTACTGTGCATGCCAGGGAGGAGCTGGTACCCAGATCTTTTCCTCTGCTCCATGTGCCCTCCACAGCTCTGAGACCCCAGGGCATGCATGACCTATTGGGCAGAAGGTTCAGGGAGGTCCTGCTGCCCCACTTCCCCATGCAAGATGTCCTGCAGATGAGGGAGAAAAGCAGACTCCCATAAGGAGAGGGTTTGGCCAGGATAAACACCAGCCCCTTCCCAAAGCAGTGCTGTGGCTGGGGGTGGCACACGGGGAAGGTGGGTGAGCAGAGCTGCTGTGACAGCTCCTCACTTCCCAGCTCCTGCCAGGTGCTGAGCAGGCAGGTGGAGCTACCTCCCAAGATTTCCCATCCCCACCACCACTACACTCCCATCCGTGCTCCTGAAGCCTTGTCAGCTCTCAAGGAATGGTCTTTAGCAGAGCCTGGGAACCAAACAACTGGCCCCTGGCATTCCTGCTGAGGGAGCAGGCTGTGCTGGTGATGGCAGATATGTCCTTGTCATTGCTGCAGGGAGCTGAAATCAGAACTCTGACTAATTAGGAGGGTTGTGGAAAAGCAGATGAGGGGATTAAAGAGAAATAAAATTGATGCTAGGAAGTAGAAATGACAGTACCTGTCGGCTGGGACGAAGCAGGTGGGCTGAGGAGGAGGGTGGTGTAGATAAATGCTGATGGGTTTCACTCCTGAAGCTGTTAAGGAGGAATGTTGGTTTTGTGTAGAGAGCTGCAGCTGCAGGTGCCCCTGCCACCACAAGCCTGGGTTTGCTGGGGCTGGGAGGTGTGGTACCCCCAGTAATTTGTACAGGGAAGGGGCTGTGCGGGGTGACTTGCAGGCAGAAAGTCACAGGGAGGAAAAGGTGAGCAGAAACAAGAAATGGCTTGTGGGTGTTGGATGCTTTGGCAAAGGAAGAAGCATGGGTGGAGGATGTCTAGGAGGATGTCACCCACCCTCCAACACACTGTGGTGCTGTTTCTAACATGGGAGCCCATTTTTCTTTATTGTTTGGCTTTCCCCTTGGCTCACTGGCTCCTAACGCTCTTTTCTTAGTAAAATCTGTCAGTGTGGTGAGAAATCTCTCAGCATGGTGTGATTCCATGGCTGCTCTGGGCAGGAGGAGGTGGTGGGCTTGGGAGAGGACAAGGGACAACACTAGAAAGTGCTGTGGGGCACCTTTCCTCCAGCAGACTGCTCACTGCAGCCTGGTCAGCCTGGCACAGAGCCCCAGGCAGGGACCTTGCTGCACAAGGTTTCTAAAGCACGAGGTGGAGGCAGCAACAGGAGCACCCAGAGTGGTGGTTTTGGGGCCAAAAGAGTTTCAATTTTAGCTTTGCCAGTTGCCCTCTTCCTCCCCAGGTGGGTTGCTGGCCTCTGCAGTTTGGGGTTCTCTTCTGCCAGATGATGAGAGTGGTATTTGCCTCCTCTGTGGGCAGAGGGTTAATCAACATTTGGGTGGAGACATGAGGATGGGGAAGTTGTGTACAGCTGCACCATGGCCATCTGGCCAGAACCAAACAGAAATTTTTATTTAAAGACAATGATAACCCTTTAATGTTACGCCTTGAAAACTGCCCTCAACTCTTCTGTCTCTCACTATCCCCTCTCTGTCTCCTGTTTTGTAGCCCTGCTCCTGGATATCATGATTGTGGCAGGTTTGCAGAAGCTGGCCAAGCGGAAGGGCCCGTACGACATCAGCCCTGGCCTGTTGGACTACCTGACCATGGACACCTACGCCTTTCCCGCCGGGCACGCCAGCAGGGTGGCCATGCTCTCCAAGTTCTTCCTCAACCACCTGGTCCTGGCCATCCCTCTCCGCATCCTGCTGGTCCTCTGGGCCCTCTGCGTGGGCCTGTCCCGCGTCATGATCGGACGGCACCACATCACAGATGTCCTCTCCGGCTTCGTTTTCGGCTACTTGCAGTTCAGGCTGGTGGAATTGATATGGATGTCTTCCAACACGTGTCAGATGTTGATATCCATCTGGTGAACACGGAGGACTTGGAAACTAGAAGATACTTTGAGAGTCCCCCTCCCAGTATTTTCTACATGTTGTTTGTTGGAAGCAGTTGTAACTTCCATGAGTAGTGGTGTTTTTTAATGTCGCTTCCCCACCTTTAAACAAAAAAGTTTCTTGTAATGAATTGGGTTTTAGAAATCAAGGGCCATACCTGTGTTCTGGCCATATTCTCAAGCTGTGTTTGGACAGCAGCCTAATTAAGCTTTACAAATGAGAGAAATGAGCTCCATGTCTGCCTTCTTTAGGTGGTTCACATTGGCACCTTGGTATGTCCTCAGGATGGGCAGTGCCTGAGAGCTTCCTGAGAACACATTTGTGAACTTTTTAGAGGATAAATTATTTTGGCCACAGTGCTTTTTTTCTTTTTGTGAGCCCAGCAGTTGTGTCTTGTACAGAGTCAGGACACTGCTGGTGCTTTACAGATAATAAATAATCATAAAAATCCTGCCCTGTTTGGTTCTTATCACGAGGGAGGGGAGAAAACAAGTCCAGTGTGGCTTTGAGATATGCATTCATGAAGCAGGTCCTGCAGTCTTGCTGCCCAAGGAGATGCAAACTTTAGTTTTAGTTGGGATGGGCCTAGGTGGGTGCTCAGGACACTGAAGGAAAACCTCTTCTGTGGGGGTGTGTGAGGAGTTTTTGGTCTGGTAAGGGACACATGATGCTGTTTCTTCCCATTATTGACAAATGGCCTCCTTGAAGCCTGGTGGATCCTTATCCAGCTGGTGGTCATGCTCAACGTGCTGTCTCCAAAATAGATCCCCCCCTTGCAGCTGCCATAAGAAAATCCCATCTTTTGAACAGAATGTGCCAGTTCTCTGTGGTCTAGCTGTCTCTAGAAGACAGTTTGATGCTTGGCAGGTGATGGATACTATCAGACATAGCATCTTTCCTGACTGGATGAATCCTGCAGAATGGAGAGGAACTGTCATCCCTGTCCTCCTGTGGATCTCAATAAAAATTCACCAGGCTTGGGAGGAGTCAGCTGGGTCCTGTGCTGTCATCTCACCCTGCACGCTGGGAGGCCTCTTCCTACAGGGGCTAGTGAGAAGAAGACATTCAGCTAATGACTGTTGCAAGCTGCTGACATGTGTTGCTCTTTGATGATTAATATGAAAAGAAGCTAAACAGAAAATCTATCCCTGGCACGCATTTCCAGCTGGGATGTCAGCGACGAGCCCTGGGAGCTGCTGGCTCCCCGCACTGCCGGCTCCGAGGCTGGAGCAGGAGCGTGGTAAGGAGGGCATCCATGTCCCTCAAACACAAGCCTCCCACGGAGCTCACAGATGAGCTGTCCCCTGGGAAGGGCTGTCACCAAGTGTGTTGAGGAAAGGGGAGAGCTCAGGGTTGTCCCTGGAGGCTGGAACAGCAGCAGGCAGAGCAGCGGGGGTGGCAGGTGCTGTCCTGCTTCCCTCCTGCTGCTGCGTGTGGGAGCAGGGATGTGCTACTCTCCCATCAGGGTTTTCCTTTGCCAGCCTCCTTCTCCTGCAAAGATTTCTGTGAAGAAGTGAGCTATGGTGCTTTTTCTTCCTTCCAGGCATTATTAAACGTGGCAGAGTTTATCCTCATCCCTAGCAAGGATGGCAGCATGTTCTGAGCTCTGACTGCGGGTGATGCACCACTGTGTAGCTGGAGATGACAAGTTCCTGAAGGGGCAGGGAGCAGAGGATGACTTTTCTGCCATGGCTTTGTGGGAAACTCTCACTTTGTAGCTGCAGAATTTACTGAACCTTTGCAAATAGATTGGATGATTCTTCAGCCGTGTCAGCAGGTCCAGGTTTCCTTGCACTTGTGTTGTCTTCTCTTGGTATATCCAGGGTGGCAGGATGGCTTTGTAGGAGTTGCTCCTGATCTTTGCTGGTGTAATCAGGAGAGCATGGCCTGCAGAAGCTGCCACGGTGGGTTAGATCAGCTGAGCTGGTCTCATCCCAGCACATGGTTGCAAAGCAAGGCAGGAGAGCAGGGGGAGGTGAGCTGGGTGATTCCCATGGGTAAGCTGGGATTCATAGGCTAAGGCTTTCTCCCACAAAGAGTTTCTCCAGGGAATCTTCCTCCTCATCCCCCTGCAGCCTGTGCCCCTTCTCCCCACAAGTACTTCAGTGCCCCAAGCAACAGGAGGGGAGGTTTTGGGAGACCCCCCACAAGATGAGTGTGGATTTGGACACAGAGGCCTGGCAGAGCCTTGCCTTAGCCATGGCTGCCCTCCCAGCAAGCCAAGACATTCCTGATCCCTCTCTCCCACCTGCCGTGCTGAAGGTACCGCTCAGAAACAACCAGCATCAAACAACCAGCATAGCTGTGGAGAAAAGCAGCTTCTGTCTCTATAGCAACAGCAAGGGATGGTGGGTGCCTGTCCCCTGTCCCTGTGAGCTGGAGCAGGACACTGGGGCTGCTCTCTGCAGATGCTCAACATGGCAATGTGGGGAGACAAAAGGCCAAATGGTTTGAGCTCCTTCAGGATTGTCCAGGAATCGCCTGAACCTTCAGATCCCCAAATTCAGCCACACAGGGCTCAGCCTGTGAGGCTTGGGAGGAGTGGTCCTTCCAAGCCAAGACCTGTCCAGCCAGAGGATTGAAGTTCTGACTGTGGCATCTTCTGCCTTTCAGTTCATCTAAGAGATTAATTAAGAAGATGGCCAGGAGGAAACCAGTGCAGTGTGTGGGTTGGGGACTGCTGCCATCAGCACTCCATGGTGCCACTGGGAGAGTCCCAGGCTGCTCTAATGATGATTTCATGTGTGATCCTGCAGGGGAAGGAAAGGCCCCTCCTCCCCTCACCCTAATGCTGATTATGCTCAGCAGCAAAAAGAGATTTTAATTTATTAAATTAAAAAAAAAAAAAAAGATTTCCAGGGCCAGGGCAAGTAGCAAATCTGGATTATATCTTTTGGGCATATGTGGCAATCACGCCTGGGGTGTTTAGTTCTCCTCTCCTCAATCTAAACTCGTGGTTTTTTTCCTGACAAGCTGTTTTGTGTACATTTGTGGCTGGGGCTGTGCTGAAATGTAGGTGGGACAAATCCTTTCCTACATCAGGGCTGTGCTGCCCTCCCTGCCATGGCAGGGTCCTCTCTGTCCCCCAGGACTCATTGTCCCTGTCCTTCCCAGGGTGAGGCAGCTGAAGGGGAGGGACCTGCAGGAGATGGTGGAGGGTGGCTTGGCAGATTTGAGGATTGAGAGGAGAATTAGGAAGGCTGTCATACAAGGTGTCCCAGCAGTAGCACAGGTGTGACTCTAGTTCACCCCAGGCTGGGTTTTCTTGGGCAAACACACTCCTTTTATTTAGTCAGGATATCTCTGAGGAGGGTGAAGAGACCCAGGGGTTTATCTGGCTCCCAGGAGCTCAGTGCAGCAGCCCCAGCTCTTGTCACAGCCCTGACACTGCTCTTTACAGCACCGAGGACGTCCCTGGCAGCCACAAACTCACTTTTGAAACTCTGAATTAGGGGGAATCACCTGCATGGTTTTCAGTTAAAATTTTTAATTAAAGTGCTAATTAACCATATAATTTCCAGACTACAAGTTCAATATAGTGGGCAAAGCCTAAGGAAACGGATGGTGTCTCCCCTTCACACACTTACATTCCAGAAGGTGCTGCAACACAAAAGATACACGAGCACAGATGATGCTTTTTTATGTGATTTTGGCCACCTGAACTAGAGATGCAGCCAGTTCCTGCCTCAGCACACAGAGACATGGACATGTACGCTGCAGGTGGGAGCAGGTGACCACAGAGGTGTTTTTCTCTGGTGTTGACCCAAGTGCCTGGCTGATGTGCCTATGTCTGCAGGCAGTGCTTGATTTAGGGGTGATGCTGGGGCTCTGCCCCCCAGCCAGGCAGGGATGGGCTTGTTTCATTCCGTGACTCACTGGGACTCAGAGCAGCAAAGATCTCCTTGTTCTTTCCCCAGGACACAGGAGTCAAAGCGGATTAAAGGTCCCTCGGCTGATCACATTTATTTCATTATTTGAGTGAAATCCCTCGTAAATACCGCCTCCCTCCCTTTTCTTTTTATAAAAATAGAAGGCACGAAAGAATTGGAGATTTAGGAAAAGTTAATCACAGGAGTCGCTTGAAATCCATTAACCTCACACAGCCTGAGCGAGGCTGATCCTTGCTGCAGAGAAGAGATGCTGAATGGCCTGGGGGGGACCCCAACCCCGCCAAAGAAGAGCTTTCCCTGGAAAAGACCTGGTTCTTAGCAGGCTGGGTGGTATTACAGCCTTTGTTCACAGTCTGGCCATGATGAAGCGCTAATTGCAGTGCTGGAATAAATTGGCTGAAGCTCCCAGGAGGCTCCAGAGCTCTGGGATCAGGTGTGGGAGCCCTGCAGCAGATGCTGCTGGCCAGCCTGCTCAGGACCATTGGAAATGCCAGTGCTCCTCCCTTTACCCTGTGCTTCCTCTGAGCTTCTCTGGAGGATGGGACTTGGGCTTCACACAGGGATCTAGCCCAGTTTTTCTAACAAATTGCAAACAGGTGCAGTTGGTTTCCATTCCCCAGAAACTGCCCTGAGTCCCCATCCCTCCAATATCCCCACGCCCCTGGGACTCTCTCTGACTTCCTTTCTTCTCCCAGGACCAGCAGTTTTGTGCAAGACCATCAGTGCTGGTAAGCCAGACCTGCAGAAATTAATTAAATGAAAAGCAATGGGAACAGAAGCTGAGAGCTAAAATGATGGATGTTCATGAAACACTTGCCCAGAGCCCAAAGTGCTTTGGGCATTTGGTGATGTTTGCTTCCAGCCAAAGAGCTGTGCAATAGTTAAACACACTCAATGCAGTGGTGATTAAGGAATCAGCCTCTGCTATCTGGGTGTGGGTGCCCTCTCTCCATTGCAATTTGCACCTTGGAGCTGCCAGCACTGGTTTGTCATGGATTGATTCCCCTGGCTGTGGGGGGCTTTATTTGCTTTAAATCCTAAACCTTGACTTGTGTATTAATAGCATGGTAATGCAACGCTTTTGTGTCCAGCACAAGCCAGGGGTTATATAAAACACAGATTAATGGGAATCAGCAAAATACAGGAGCATGTGGAGGGATGCCATGAGGATGCCTTGGAAGGGGTGGCAGGTCCTGAGGGTAGAGAAGGTGGCTGAGTGGGTTCAGAGCACTTCCTGGCAGGATTTGCTCTGGTAATTGTTCTGCAGCCCCTGATTTAGGCCATTTCCTGAACCAGCATGTCTGTGATCAGGGGTCTTTTGTCCCTGAGTGATAACAAGAAGGCAGAAAGGTGGTCTGGGAATTTGAGTGGAAATGGCTGCTTTTTGCTTGTTTGTTTGTTTGTTTGTTTTGCCTTTTTTCCCCTAGCTGATATGCATCATTTCTGCAACTGCAAAAAAGCAAACATAGTACAGGCATGAAGATTAATGAAGAAGCAGTTTTCCAAAGGAAAGGAACATCTTTCACCAGGGGTAAAAGAACCTCCATTCCCAGCATGGCTT